ATATATATAATCAATTTTTTATTTAAACTCTATATATAATTAAAAATATAATCAATATAATACATATCTTTTATTTTACATGGTTTTATTAAAAACCTCATTTTTTAGGATTTTTTTTACAGAGAAAACAAACTATGAACTGTTTAAAACAAATCTAAATTTTTTGACAAGTCAATGAAAAAAATAACAAATCAATCAAACTCTTATGTATCTGGAATGGTCATAATACTAGCTATTATAGTCTCACTTTGTGCAATTGCATGTAGAAAAAAATGGATTTCAAGAAGGTTTTTGGCCCATGAAAGATTACATGAGTATATCATGAACTAATATAAACAAATTACAAAAAATATTCAATAATTATATTAAAGTAGGTAACAACACAATGTTTGCTTAGTGAATATAAATATTTTATAAGAATATATGTAGGAGACAAATTGATATGTATTATGATAAAAAAAAATTCTCATAATACACCTCATGATTATAATAATTTTTTTCACATATTTTTTTTATGATTTTGAACCAATTACAAAGTTTGATATGATAAAAGATTGATATATAAAACTTATTATATATACTATATTAAAAAAAACAACCAATAATGATAAGATAGATTCATGTATCAAAGGTAATATTGATTTTTATTAGTTTAATGTATAAATGTGATTATCGACTAATTTAACTAACATCAATAATTAAAAATATATATTATCATCGCGCAACGCGCGATATCAAAAACTAGTTCAAAGTAAAATGAAAACAACGAGCATGATTTGTAAAGTTATCAAAGTTGGTGTCTTATTTTTCACTATCCCATGTACTAAAATTAGAGTTTACTCTTTTATTCCTTCAAAAAAAATATTATCTATACTACCTTATAAACCAGATTTATTAAAAGTCTTAAAAACAACTCATAATGCACTAAGTACTACTACTTTATGCATTCAGTCTTAAAATATCTTAATTTACAATTAAAATAACATATTATACAAGTTATCAATGCACATTATTACCTTTTCTTTTTATGTTCCCATGATACTTTTGACACATTTCACCCATACCTTCACCATCTCATACCTTATGTTTTCTTCCCATCCTCGAAGGTGATATTCAAACTGATATTCACTATGAGTTATTAAAAGTTCTCACATTCATATATCATTCAATTGCTTTAGAACTCTCGGTCTCGCTCTCTTGATTCTTTGCTCTTGGTGTAAATCGAACACATTTGTAGAATCGTCTAAATATGTTGGATTTTAAATATATTAGATTTTAAACTGTCATATAATTTTTTTCGTCGATAGACTGTAATTGGAACCATAATTCTTATTTATTCAAATTGTATTAGTATGTAAAGATCAAGTGTAACTTATATCATCATTTAATTTTTTCTAATAAAACTTTAAAATCGTTAAAATTTACGGATCTTGTCGCATTGCACACATATACAACTAGGGGTGAGCATAGGCGGGTACCCGCCCTTTTTGACAGGAACCGGAACCGGAACCGGCGGTTCTTGAGATATTGGAATCGGAACCGGAACCGGTTAGAGCAGTTCTTAAATTTTTGGAACCGGAACCGGAACCGCCGGGAACCGGTTCCGGTTCCGGGTACCCGCCCTTTTTGACAGGAACCGGAACCGGAACCGGCGGTTCTTGAGATATTGGAATCGGAACCGGAACCGGTTAGAGCAGTTCTTAAATTTTTGGAACCGGAACCGGAACCGCCGGGAACCGGTTCCGGTTCCGGGTACCCGCTTCCTAAAATATTAAAATTTTGTTATTTAGAAATAAAAAATAAAACGTTGCCAAAACACTAAATAAATAAGCAAGAATACAAATTATATATAATAATGGTTACAAATATTGTTTAACGATTACAAACCATAATAGACTAATATAAAATGTTCAAAGTTTAACGATTACATACTATAATGGTAAATTTTCAAAGTTTAACGATTACATACTATGAATCCAAGTGAACACACAATTTAAAAAAATAAGAATCATTCTATATGAAAAATTTAGATGAAGAATGAAGATGACGGCGTGCTTTCAAGATGTAAACCTAATATATATTTGGTATTAAAAAATAATAATAATTTTTTTATTTAAAAATACCGGGTACCCGGCGGGTAACGGTTCCGAAAAATTGAGAACCGGAACCGGAACCATTCTCAATCGGTTCCGTATTTTAGGAACCGGAACCACTCATATCGGTTCCGGTTCCGGAACCGGCGGTTCCAAAACGGTTCCGGTTCCATAGCCGGGTACCCGGTTCCGCTGCTCACCCCTATATACAACTAGTTATTTTATTGTTATTATTATTATTATTATATAAATTTAAATTTAGATTGACAGCTGGACACTGCGGTCTACTTTCGCTGTTCACCGACGTAACGCGTCCTCCCTTTTTTCTCCCAGAATCATCACCACCTACATTCTCTCCGATTCTAGGGTTTCAAAATCCCCATAATAATAATCCCAATCAAATCTCTCTGCATCTCCCGCAATGCATTCGTGGAAAGATAGAGTTACAGACAAGTTAACCAATCTTTTCTCTGATTCTCCCTCTTCCCCACCTTCCCCTGCGTCTCCTCATAAGGTACCTTCTTTCATCTTTTATCTCATAACCCCATACCACAAACGTGTATGCATTGTTTGTTTTCAGATTTGATGCTAGAAAGCTGTGACCCTTATGATTTTCTTTATGTTGTTGGAGTTGGCCGATCTCCCTCTCTGTTTATTTTAAAAAATCGTGTCTGATGTGTATTTAAGAAACTAGATCCATTTGGGTTTAGAGATTGATAAGTTTGTTCAACTGTTGTTAGCTGATGAGGTCATTGATATTGTTAATTGGAATAGTTGGATGTATAAGAAGAAGAGATTGACAATTTGAGGTTTTGATTTATGCTTTCCAGAGACAAGAGGAAGGGTTTTTGCCTAAATTACTCTACAGCAGATAGTTGACAGGGGAAGAAGGAAAGGGAAGTTTTCGTTCTCGAAATAATCTAGGAGTAATCCTAATTAAGATTGATTTGTAGGATGGAATACTACATTGTACTATGTAACAAGTTTGCACTTTGACAAATGGGCTTTAGGAAATGGGAAAACACATGATGAGGGGAAATATTTGATGAAATGTGCAAGGAGAATATTATATGGAAGGATAAGAAAAATCTTTTGTTGGCATAACATGCCTTGTCATTGCTGAATTGTCCTTAGCAGTACGGACGTGGGAATCCACAAGTGAGATCACCGGTTCGAATCTCGGTACCATCCGTCTGCCTCTGGGACATCATGGTTTTCCTGCCCATGATAGCCAACCGGTGCATTGGGGTGCTCTAGAGGGTGGAGTATACTTTATTTTACCTTGAGCAAGTAATTTTATTCACAGTGAAAACAGTCATTTAAGAAAGTAATCTACTAATCGAACTTAGTATCAATTTGTTTACTATTGTATGCATTTATAATCTCACAATAACTATATTCTATATTTAAATGAGTTGCTTCCGCTTCTACTTAAACATCCTTACCCCTATGTAGAAAATTAAGAACTGGAAGGTCACTTGACCGCCTAGTTCAACATAACTCATCATAGAAGACTGATGATAACATCCCTGTCCCCTTGTTTGTGTACCCTATTTCCCTTCTCGTTCATCTGCCCTGATACATTGTCGAGTTACTTGTGCACACGCTCTCACCAATATCTTACTCGCTTGTATATCTATTTATTATGTAAGCCGGGGGAATTCACAGAAACAACCTCTCTACCCCTTGGGTAGAGGTAAGGTCTGTGTATATCATACCTTCCCCAGACCCTACCTCTGCCTGAGTCGGTTTGGTTTGGTTTTAGAAGACTGATGATAATTGCTTGTTCAGTTTCATGGGATTTATGGTGGTCGTTAGAGCTTGAAGCTTAACTTGGTGGTTGTTTTACATTTTCTTAGTTCTAGTTGCAGTACGGTGTTTGCCTGCCATAGTAGGTATTGGAAGGTAGACCATGTGTGTTTATACTACTATTTGATTCTTAACACGTTCTATTAACGTGTAGGCCAGGTCACACACGAAGGATGGCAATTACATGTCTTCTGTATTTACATTCATGCTTCCCTCGAGTGAGTCCAGTTCAAAGAAGCATGAGAATTATCTTAAGCCAATTCAATCACTTCCAACAAGGTGGAAAAATAGAAATACCTCATGGCAACACGAACCCTTAAATACCCATGATGAGTTCGATGATGAAGCTGATCCTCATGAACGAAATGGTGAACAAAGCTGCTTAAAGGGCATAAAATGTGACAACAGGGAAACGCCAAATACCAGAGAAGATAATGGAGACCAGGGTTCTGGACGGAGCACTAGCAGCTCTGAAGCGTTTGAAGATGCCCCCGAACCAAATACTCCAATGAAAGCTGTCATCGACCTCTCTCTTGATTCTTTATTCATTTCTCCGGAACTATACCATTTTTTTCAGTCTTCCCTTCCTAATATAGTGAAAGGTTGCCGGTGGGTCTTATTGTATAGGTAATATTTTCTTAGAGTGCGTTTGGTACGTGGGACAGGACTGTAAAAAAACTTGCAGTCACACGTCTGTTGTGACATTAGAGTAGGACAAAAAAGCATTTTCCCAACAAAATAGGTGTAACAAAATCCAGGGAGATCAGACAAGATTGGTAAATTACTAAATTACTCATGTCAAATTAATACTCTAAAACCTTGCACAATTCTTTCACCTCCTTACCTCAGTCTCGCCTGTCCAGTCATGTATACGTACAAAACGCACTCTTATGGTTACAAACTGAAGTTTTTATTTATTTTAAATTGGTATGTTGACATGTATGCGTGCATTTTCTCTCTCTTTCAAATTAAGGGCAGTACGTTGAGACATGGCATATCACTCCGTACACTTATTCGGAAAAGCTCTGATCTTTCTGGCCCTTGTTTGCTGGTAAGATTGTGTTTTACAATTCCCATGAACTTTTGCACCTTCTAATTACTTGAAAAGGTCTTTTTACTGTAAATTATTGTATGTGATGGAATTGTACTGTACTCTTAGATAACCGGAGATCCTCAAGGTGCTGTCTTTGGTGGGATGCTAAATTGCCCGTTAACACCTACTCCAAAGAGGAAGTATCAAGTAAGTTAGCTTGTTATAGCAATCCTGTGGATCACAGTAGCAGCCACATACATTGATAGTGTATTTTTGTATAATTTCTTTCACTACATAATTCATGCAAACACCAAACTTTAATTGTGCTGGCAGGGGACATACGAAACCTTTGTTTTCACAACGTTATACGGTGCACCAAGGCTGTTTAGACCAACTGGTAAGCTTTCTATCTACACAGCAACACATGTACGAGACAATTAAGATCTATTTCCTGTCATGAATGTGGATATATCATACAATGAAGCAGCTTGTTAAATTCCTCAAGTTCAGTATGTAATCGAACATTGGGCACTCTATTTAAGTGGCATATGCAGTTTTACTTTTGTCTTTCCATGTCATAAAGGAGGCAGGGTTGGAAGTATTCCTAAGAATAGATGTACTTGTTAAGTCATCATATCAGAAGGATTGTAATGTTAGTTGCGTAACCTGTAATATGCTTGCAAAGCCGTTTCCTGAAAATCATCTTTAGGGGTGCATTTGGTACGCGGGTGGGCTAGCATGAGGTAGTAGGTGAAAGAATTGTGGAAGGTTTTGGGGTTTTAAGTTGACTTGGGTAGTTTAGTAATTTACCAATATTGTCCTACCTCTCTGAGGTGGGACAGAAAAAAATGCGTTTCTGTCCCACTCAGGCCCTCTCCTGCCCCCGTCCAATGTCACGTCAAATGTAAGACAAGTTTTTGAGATATCACTCTCACAGGCTAACTATTTCCATCTTTTGTTTTGAGAAGGTGCAAACCGGTACTTTTACATGTGTCTAAATGACATGCTAGCACTTGGAGGAGGCGGAAATTTTGCCTTATGCTTGGATGGAGATTTGTAAGTTCTTTTTTGTATATCTTCATACTAGTAACAGAAGATAACATCGTTTGTTTCTATTGTCTTGAGTATGTCTTTCATATGAAAATAGGTTAAGCGGAACTAGTGGACGTTGTGATACATTTGGGAATCAATGCTTGGCTCATAATGAAGCATTTGAGTTGAAGAATGTTGAGGTAATACCAGAAGCCCCTGCCTTTGCCTCTTTTGTTTTCTTTTGGAACTCTGCTCTGTTATACACCTTTTTCTGTTTCTTCTTTCACTACCAAATCCTTTATATCCCACTTGGAAGTAGGGTTGGGAGATGTACACAAACATGTCATTTACCCCGGAGTTTTTCTTTGAAGTATATAATATTTTAGAGTAAATTATGTTTTTAGTCCCTGTGATTTGTTGAAATTTTATATTTTCGTCCCGGTAATTTTGAAATTGCGATTTTCATCCTTATGGTTTATAATTCATTACTGTGTTCGTCCTTATGATTTAAACTTTATGGCTTTTTTCATTCCAGTGGTTTACAATTCATCTCTAATTTAGTTCCTCATACTTAAAAGCAGTGTTTAATCAATCCTTAGGGACGAAATAGAATTGAATTACAAACCATATGGACGAAAACCGCAGTTTTGAAACCACAAGGACAAAAAGATACTTTACTCAATATTTTATATACGCCAAAACTCGTGCACGCTCCCTACCTTTGTGAGACTTGAACCCTTGACCTCCAAGGAGGAGCCTGTAACCCAGATACCAAGGGGCTGTTTACCAACAAAGTGGTTACCAGAAAGAATCACTACCTCACAAACCTGATCAGGTAACATTCTCGGCCATCAAAGCTAGCGTCTTTTACCCTGTAAGCGCTTACCAGGTAAGAGTCTTCCAGACCTGGTAATGTAAGCGGCACCTGCCAAACCCTTACCCGGTAAACACTTGGTAAAAGCCCCTTAAACCTTGGTGAACCTTGGCTCCAGGTAGAATGTGTTTTGACGTGCACTCTAGTATTTCTAATAGATGTTGATTTGCTGTTCTTGCAGTTGTGGGGTTTTGCACATTCTTCTCGCTATCCTTAAATTAATGCACGATCCGTGGTACAAGTGAGATTTGGTTCATTATTCATACGTGATCTTCAAAACATAACGCAGCCGACACTTGCAGCAGGTTATGAAGCTGTGAAGCAGAGTACTCGTATTGTGTTCTCGTAAACGTATTATACCTACGACCCTCGACTTAAAATTTACGCAGGATGCGATTGTGCACATTTGCCTTTTGGTCTTACAGTTTTAACATTCTTAAGGGTTGGGTTTCAATTTGTTTTTCTCCATATTTAATAAGATTCCAGCATTGTGGTTTGAACTCGTAGCCATCAATATCCCAATATTGAACCATTGATAGCCAGATTATTCAAAATGAAGTATCGAAATTTAAAATCTTCAATAAAAATTACATTCCGACTCCTGTTGTTTAATTTGAAGATTATAATATTAATTATATTATTAAAATGTTGCATATATATAATAAAATATTATTTCTTACTCTTTTTAAAATTAACCTGGATATCCAACTTGCTATGTGAGACGACTAATCTTAGGTCGACCACTTGTTTTGTAGATAATCCGGAGTCACCGCATTTGAACCTCCATGGCCACAAGGGGATCTTTATTCCTTCTTTGATTTGAACTTGGGACCTTCTGGTACCTTTGGAGCCAAGTTTAAACCAATCAGGCACCACCCTTATGGTTACTTCTGGTAATCATATATTGGGAGTTTCCTAAATTTGAAAAAAATCACCGTCTTTCCTAGTTTCTCGGTTTTGAAGGATCTGTTGAACCAAAAATACTTAGCCCAATATCCATTCATTCTCTATGTTTCAAGTGCCCCCAATAGTTTCTTCAAAATGAAGAGCGAAAAATCAAAACCTCTAATACAAAATTAAATTCAACTCCAAGATTCTCTGTTGTGGAGTAAACTACAAGTTTGGTTCATGTGGTTTGTTGAAAATAATACTTTTAGTTTTGAAATTACGAGATAGCCATCGTGATACATGATAATGTCTAGATTTGGTTCTTGGCTCTAACAACCGTTAAAAAAATCTGTTAAAAGCAAGGGTATCTTTGTCTTTCTATTGGTGTTTTTATCTTTTTAACCAATCAAAATCAATCTTTTGATTTGGTTCCTATGGTTTTTGACCGACTAAATGAAAAAAAAAAAACAATCGATAAAAAGACGAAAATACCCCTCATTTGACAGAAATTTCTTAACAATCGTTAGAACCTAGCATCAAATTTGAATTTTTTGCAAACCATTATGGTCCGGAAGGCTTTGAAGAATCCATTGAAACGAAAAAATCTCCAAAATCTCTATTTAGAAAAAAAAAAAAAAAAAACTAATAGAAAATACCCTAATAAAGCATGCAAACAGAAAAATGAACAGTAAAATTCTAATAAAGTTAAAACAATTCTCTTTTACATATAAAACCTCAAATTCTCGCATAATTCTAATGACAAATCTCATTTAAAATGATACAAAATGACCTGCTGCAAATACATCCAAGATGGCTATAACTCTCAACAACCTCCACATCTCACCCCTATAACCCAGAAGTCTTCTCAAGACTCCATTGCAGCATCCTCTTGGGGCAATCCAAACAACCGAAGGTTTCGATCCATTGACCCAACGGCTATGTATTTTGCATCGGCGCCAAATTTTACCGAGTTTATCTTACCTGCATTCACAATTTTTACATCAAAACTCATGAAAATCATATCAACATTCCCAAACCACTTGATAGATAGAAAGAAAGAAACCTGTGCCAGACAAATCAGGCAATGTTTTAATACAGTTCCATTCAGACTTCACATTCGCAACTTGATAAACTCTGCAGACCAAAAATTTAATTGTCATTACAACTTGCCAAAAATAACTAGCATCTCGTCACCAAACCAAACAAGCTAAATATATCCCACCCAGACGGGTGAATTTACGCTTAGGCTAGGGGGTGCCCTGCACTGACTGTGTCTTCCGGTTGTAATGAAAAAAAATTGGGTCTTCAAGATGCACCCTCTTTAGATTGATGTGCACTCCCATTTGCAACGTACTAGCAGTGTCGTTGCATGTAGCATCATAGGTTGCAAGTTCAAATCTTTTTAAATTTTTTGGTAACAAAAAAGTGGAAATAGCTACTTGCGTGTTGTAAAAAACCACTTATGTCACTTTAAATTAAACTGTACTTTTTATAATTAATTTGCTTCTATTTTATATTATATTAATTATTTTGCGCCCCCACTCGTAAAATAATTATAACCATACCTCTGTCATAGACGTGACCTCTCCACGAATAGTAGATTGGCTTGATAACCAAGTCTTATTACATATGACACTCGTTAACCAAATGCCAGGACCCAAAAGTATGTTTGTAATACATTAGGGATCATATTCATACATTTGAACTATAAAGCCACATTCAAGAGACAAATATACTGATAAAATCTCAGATCTGATGTCAATCACAGAAACAAAGACAAAGTGGACATACCTTATGTCTGAACCTCCTATCGCTAGGTAATTTCCACTATGATCAAATTCCACTGCAGATAAACAAAGAACGTGAGATACGTTACGAACTGTTCAGACGCTAAAAAGCTTGCGGTATAAGCCACACATGCGATGAGCAGTATGATCGACTATATTTATGAAGAATACCAACATAACTTAATGCATCACAAGTACAGCATACTACCTGAACCCTATTTTTAGGAATAAACCAACTCCAGTAAAGCCTGGAAACCGTAATCCACTTCTAATTTACAAAAAGACTAGCACATTGCTACTGGTTAATACTTTCTCACATAAATTAACAAGTTCACAACTTGTCAGTGGATAGCTGCTGGCAAATTTGATAGTCCCTGTGTCCCAAAATAGATGTCCATAAAATAATCAAACAGTTCTAAAAATATGTAATTATTACACTTTTTGATAAACTAAATCACAATTTATCCCTTAATAATAGAGGAATTAATGAATTTCTCCATTTCATGATTACGGGCAGAATGGTTACTTTTAAAAGTGTACTTTGGGACAAAATAAAATAGAAATGTGAACACTTTGGGACAGATGGAGTAATATACTGCATAATGCTATTAATAACAATAAATGTATCAAATCTAATTAGATTGTATCCAGGATGTAAATGATGTGTTTTTAAGAGCAATGAGTGTACAAGACAGGTTGCACATGACACGTGATAATTTCAAAGAGTTCCTTGGCAAGTATAATAATTAAAGCAAACACCAGATACACCTCAAGAGCTCTCTTTTTAAGCATATATTCCGAGCATAAACATTAAAGGAGGGTGGACATTACCTGATTGTGTTGGAGTGTTCTCATCATATGGTGCAAAGGTCCTGAAGTTTCTCAGTTTGCGAAGATCCCACAGCTTAACACCATCTTGGGCAGCAGTCTGACAAATTGAGACAAACTGTTAATGAATCTGAAACTAACCAACAGTATCCATGAGGCATTCACAAAAAGGACTATCCAGATTATCGGTAGCACCCAGCCTCCTTGGAAGGCAAGGGCTCAAGCCTCACCAAAGGAGAGTGTGTGAGTTTTGTCGAATACAAATATTATATACTTAAAAAAAGGACACTTACAGCAAGGAAGTAACCATTCTCAGAAAAAGATATTGCAGTTACTGCCCCAACATGCCCATCAAATCTTGCAACATTTGCCTGCAAACAAACTGGCATAAGAGGAGGGGAAAAACGATCCAGGGGCATCTACCAAGGGTTTGGGGATACCTGACTCTTCACATCCCAGATCTTAACAATGGCCCCAGAGGTGCCTGTTCCGAGAATGAGACCATCAGGATGAAAAGCTGCAGATGTATAGCCTTCAGATGCAGATGAATCTTCAACCTACAGATTAACACAAATGATCTTAGTCAAGTAACAATTAATTAGCCAACACTGACATTTTCCGTGTATAGAAGAAACCTGTGCAAGGCATAAGCCAGATGATAGCTCATAGAAGCACCATGAATTGTCGAGAGAAGCTGTTACAAAGTAGTTATTTGTAGCATGGACAGTCACAGCTTGCACCTGGCAATCAGTCCATGTATTATCATTAAAATCTCTAGACGTACACAAGGGAAGTCGAGCTGGAAGCAGTACATCTTTAGATAAGATATTTTGAACCGCTAAAGAAAAAAGGAGAAAATAAATAAAAAGGAGCAACCATAGAAAGAATACTATTTATCATTTACTCTAAATCAGATACATAATGTATAGAAAAAGATTGCTAAATACCGATGACACTACTGACGTCCTAAGGGAACACGATAAAAAACCGGTTTTTCATCCAAACAAATTACATAGTAGCCAGCAGCATTATAATAATAAAGGTGGCAAATGGGTGAATTGGGGGGTAAGGATGGTGATTTGCCCAAACTCGGACCAATACCCAGTTCACCAGCCACAACCTGAGACGGGGATGATATACCCTGCCCTGTTCCTATCCTTGTTTGGGAGTGCAATTGAGAATGTTAGGGATAGTGTCTCATCATGGACAAGTTTTCCTAAAAAAGAGTACAAATGTTTAGAGTCTTTGGTGAGTATTGCCAGCTCTAGTCATTCATAACCTGAAGTTGCAGCCACAAACTATATTTGCAGTACCTTGAGGCATACAGCACAAGTTTAGTATTATAAATGATAACAAATCAAAAGAAGCTTTATCAGGAACCTATATAATTTTGAGACTTGCAAAAGAAAAGACAAAGGCCCCTAATCAAGGTAAAATTAAAGATTAATCAAAGACAACCATGGACCACAAAACAAGTAATGCAGACAGATATTGGCATGAGGAAACCCAACCATTCCCCCCCCTCCCAGTACACACACCCACAAAAGAAAAAGAACAAACAATTCAAGATAAGGAAATAAACAGAAAATCAAACATATAAAAGAAAATTGCAGCTATGCAATAAGAAAGTAATTTACATTTATATTTCAAATACTAGCAGTAGAATGACATAATTACCTCAGCTGTATGATCCTTTAAGACATGCCTACAATCATAATTTCCATTTTCGGACCCTTGCCACACACGAACTGTCTGCACAAGGAAAAGGCAACTTCAATGCAAATACAGATAGCCTTAGGATCCATTAAATATATCAGTTCTTTAGTCATCAAACATACTCAAAGAAGCATTTGCTAGATGGCTTCCAGTTGAAGTTTTCTCAATTTTCATATACCATAAAAGTAAACATGAAATTCCATAAAAGCCAGTTCTCAACAAAGCGAGTGAAAGAAAAAGCAAGAAAAAAATAAAAAGAATTATACTTCTAATTTTGAAGTCGACGAAATCGATTAAAACCCCCTAAGCTACTTCACAGGAAACACAGAATTGAGAATAAGCTTACTTTATCGGCTGAACCAGTAACAACCATCTCACCATCACCCACAAACTTGACACTGGTGACCTAACAAACAACAAGACAAAAGAAGTTCAAAAATAAGCTAACAACATCAAGGCATGTCATCAATATTAACTATTTACCAAATAGTGAACAACACCTTCTTCGAATGGCCACTGAGCGTAGATAAGATCTCCCCTGACGATCGATTAAAGACTACAGCATTCATATCAACTCCACCCGTAGCAATAAAATCCTGACGTACAAAACTAAGATTATTCCTCATGCAACAAAGACTGGATTTCAAATTGTAATAGTAGGATGTCTGGAACAGGCGTTGAGAACTAAAAAATATATCAAGGCACCAAAAACGAAGTAAAACTTATTGTTAACACTTAAGACAGTTCCACTTGAATATCTTACAAATTAGTTATTTTAAGATCCAGCTCATAGGCCAAAATCAAGTATAAAAACGGTCAAGTTAGTTTTGGAACTTAAATGAAGGGACCCTTATCGAATGCACAAAGCTAAACTTCAAGCACATGGCTAGACAATGATTAGCAGTCTCTCATTTTCTTTGCATTTTAGAAGAGATCAACAAGCATTTGAGCTACAAAAGTTGGTTTAGACTTGTATAAATGTTAAGAGGACCAATTATAAGAGAAAATGAACTTACTTCTAGAACATATTCTGTTTATCTTGGAACACTTGACAATCTTAACCCTGAGATTTAGGCAGGTCATTCTAGCACTATACAGTGAAACGGCACTTGCCTAGAACAGATGGCTATTAAAACATCCAAGCTGACATCTCTTCAGTCCATCCAACCACGCTACGTTTAATCAATTTTCTGACTTTTGAGCATGATATCTAAAACTAGTGTGTATATGATTGGATATGAACTCATTTAATGAAGAGCCCTACATTTATGCAATCAATCCCTTGCACGATATCCGTTTCAAGCATAAAAAGATATAAAGCCATCAAGAAAAGGTAGTACGTGACAATTAAACATATTAAAAACATCTGATCTTAAAGAAAGCCCAAAATCACATTAAGATTATAAATGACAAAACGACCTGTGCATACTTTATTTTCTGCAAATTGAGTGATGCCCAAAGCCAAGTGGGCACTTTGAGAAAAAAAGATAAAGCATAAATCAGTTCAAATTATAAAAAAATCGTACCTTCGATTGATGTATATCAATAGATAAAATGCCAGCTTTGTTTGTTTTATGAAGGGGATAACTATTAAGCTGGGTATACCGCTCCACGGCGTCCAAGGGAGCCAATGTGGGAGGAATCTGAAAAAGAAAATTAATTACCAAATGAAATTCGAGTTTTCAAATTCATATTGATAAGTCACCCGCCCCCAAACAAAAAAAAGCATCAAAGGCAGAATCATTAACAGTTCAATTATATCCTGAGAAGCAATAACTTTTCAGTACAAGTAGAAAGGAAACCTGTCGTCTCTTCCTTTGCTGTGAAAGTGCAGCATTGCAATCCGTTAGTTCAGTAATAATACTGGCTGAGATTCCTGGGCGGATTCTCTTACCATCAGGACCCAACTCGTCATCCTCAGCAGCTGTCACACCAACGAGAAGAACAAATATGAGACATGAAAGAATAAAAGAAAGCATATAGAAAGCTCTGAAGCACAGCAAAGAAAAACCTCTTTTCCCATTGCTTAAAGCAGAAGCATTTGCTGTCACCGCAGTGGACGCTGGCATCGGTGCTTGCCTCTCTAAATGTGCCAGCATTGTCCTCGCTTCGTCAAGTTCTTTCTTTAATCTTGCAATCACACGGCAAGCAGAATCATGCTGCCAATACAGAAATTCAAACGAGGGGTGAACACATGAAGGAGGAAAACCAATAAAACACCCGGAACCACATCAAAACTGTCAGTCAGTATTGGTTAGTGGTTCAGTTGGCTTTGAAGAAAAAAGGTTTGGTTTTCGCTTTGGCAGTCCTAAACCAAAATCAAACCAAACCATTAAACACACATATACACACACATACATACATATATATATATATATATATAGAGAGAGAGAGAGAGAGAGAGAGAAAGAGGCATTGGGGGTTGTAGTATACTAATATTTAAACACAAAAAATTCTTTCCAGGACGTTTTTTACCCTAATCTTTTCAATACCTTTTACAAGTTCAATAAAATATTTTTTAAGAACCAAAGCAACTAACAATAAAAAAGCACTTCAAATATAAACTCATTGATACAAAAAAAATTGTTGGAAATTTAAACCTCAAAAGTATAAACACGTATATGAAGGTCGTAAAGTGTTTATTTATTTTAATTTCTTGAAGTTTGGAGTGCTGACATTGAGAAAAAGGTGGTAAATTCGATCTTCAGAGGATGTATAAGTCTTGATGATATTCGTAGTTTGATATATGTTTGATCTCACAATCCTGGAGGCCCAATTTTCCATCAGCCAAGAAAGCCCCAAAACTGCCTAACCACCTTGGATTCAGTTGGTCGGCAGGTTCCATATCCAACAAAACAAACATGGCGTGTTACATAAAACCAGAAAACCGACTGAAGCAAAACCATTTCATACCTAATATAAACTTCATTTCAATCTCCTCGATCAACAAGAAGAATAAAAAAAAATCTATGAATTAGCAACTGAAAGTTGGTGCTTCCTACACAAAGAAGACAACATTTCTTCTCTAGGTCCATATAGGAAGTTGTATATTGAAGTATACCAGACAAGACATTAACAAATTGTAAGTTGAAGTAACCATACAAAACATTAACAGCAGAAATCAGAAAACAAACCAAAGTTGTTAAAGGCTCAAGGCGCACTTAGGCGCAAAGGGGTCCTAGGGCCTAGGCGTGAGGCGTGGCCCTCAGGAATGCAAGGCGCATCTTATCAATATATAATATATATATATATATATATATATATACCCACACACACAGAGAGTTACACACAACTCAAATATGCAGCAAGTACAAGCCTCCAATGCAGCAACCAACAGAACATCGATAGAGCAGAGGGGTTTAAAGCATGAGCCGTGAAGGCGAAATTTTAAAGTTTGAGTATTTATAGAGAAGGAGGCTTGAAGTTCTAAGGAATGGGTCTTTGATATTAGGGTTTAACTTATGTCATCTATTTGATAACTCTTCTTTTAGAAAGTATAGGAGATGAGAAAACTTATTTAATCTTAGGGTCTAACTAGGTATCTAGTAACTCTTTATGAGGCGTGCCTAGGCCCACAAGGCGCCTCAGCCGAGGGAGCAGTGCCTTAGTGAGCCTCATGAATACACTGAGCCTCGACCTGAAAAAAACCCAACACCTTGAGCCTTATGAGCCTCGGAGCCTAGGCGAGCTTCAAGCCCGCTTTTATCAACTATGAAACAAACAACACAATCTTAACAAAGTTGTCAACAAGGATGCACCTGCCTATAATTCCTACAAATCTGAAAGTTTTCGAGGGTCACCTCGCACAACCGCAAAAGATATAAACAAGTAAACAACACTAAATCCAAAAAAAGGCAATGTAGAGAAGATTGGCAAACAAAAACATGTCCAAAGAAGAGGCATGTAGCAAAGACAACGTACTCGAGTTTCCATCAAATAAGGATCTTATGAGCATTTAAGCCACATACATCAAAGATGGAAATAAACTTCTTTGTCATGGCACAAACAATATTAAGAGCAAATCATCATGTGGTTTCTCATTAACCAACACAAACTATTTTTCTATTTCCTTCCATAGTGTACGCATACAATGATGCTACAAGGTACCCAATTTGATTTTCAAGGCATCACTGCAAGTCCTCGGTATGTGAATAAAAAAAACCCCACAGAGAGTTAGATTTGAGAAGAGATCAGGATTGTCAAATATATTAGAATCTCGTCTCCTCAAAAGGGCTCATATAACATGTCAACTGATGAGTTTTTATGACACCTTGAACAATAAATACGAAATAAATGAACTTATCCAAGCATTACAGAGAACCAAATATCCATAGATGCCATTTTCAGTCTCTTAAAAGTTAAAACCGGGGACCTTGAGATATGGCATCACCAGCATGTGGACCTAACCTGACCCTTCCAGGCAAACTAATCATATTGACCACTTTTGGCCATTAGATTTAAGCCTTATTGTATCGCATAGAAGATCTCTCTTTTTGCACAAGTACATCAGTACAAGCATGCAATGTATAGCATCATGGATGGGAATAGTTTGAAGGAATATGATGCATTATGAGATGTGTTATCCTACTAGTTTCAGGACCTCAGAAAAACATCGGCAGAAGTAAAATACAAGGCCCGCTAAAAAATATGAGCTTCAAAAAGTTAACAATTTGACTATTGGAACATAAACTAAGATTTAAAATACGAACTAGTTACTGCGGGTACCTGGTATAAACAATGACTAAGCTCTTGCCTTGTTGTATGTAGCTGTTGCTCTGATGCAAAAGCAGATAAGACCAAGGCATCCCATTCCTGATGTTGAAAAAGAACAACAGAGCATATAAGAGATATTAACAAGGTCAAATGATTAAGAACAAGATTGCTAATTACATGTTGAGTTACCAAGTCGGAACACAGCAGAAAACAATAATACTACACCAGCCATATAACTAACATATGCAACAAGCCTAAATGATAAAGCAATGATAAGAAACACATACATTCTGGAACATTCCAAGCATCCCAGGAATACTTGCAGCCTGCACCGGTCTAGGCTTCGCTATCTGCAGGCATTTTCATCAATATTATAAGCTTCCATGTGCGAGTAACAATCAAAACATCAATTTGAAAAAGTCCATGAGAAGCATACCTTGCCAGTTTTTATCGGAACAAGGTCATCCATGGTTAAAGTGTCCCCAGTTACTGGACATTTTCCATGGTCCTAGTCAAAGTAAAGAAAAACTTTAATTTACATTAGATAAATAATAATAATCGTAATTACAATTTACAATTTGATATGGACTCTATTACCACTTTAACACCAGTTTTATTCTATTCCAAGTGTTTGTCCTAAAGTTCATCATAAATATCATACTTCCTCAGGAAGGTCACTTTCGCTTCCTGTGTTCCGAAAGGACCACACCCTGACGCTCTGCAAAATTGGGAGTTTGGGACTTACTAAAACAAAACCAATTTGACATCGAAAGTCAATCCATGGCCATATTTTGGTTTGGATAGATTTCGTCATTGAGCAACCCTTCTTCTCTAATTCCTACCTTTTGTCTAATTCTAGAGGACACCAGCATAAAATCGAAAGAAATTAACGATAACTAAGAAGATAACCCCTAGCAAAGAAAAAGAAGTCACCAGTATGTGTCTTTCGATCAATCGCTTCTCAAAAAGTAGTCCGGATGACTTAGAAACAACAGGTTCTTCCGGCACCTCGCCGGAAACTGTAGAAACATGGTAGAACAACAAAAAGTAAAACAGATCAGAGAAACAGCAACTAAACGACTAATGAGGCGAGAAATAACCGGATAAGTGATGTATGCAAGTCTATGCACAGAAAGATGTGTAGAACGCGAAACACTTACTTGAACAAATCATGGTGCAATGAGAGCTAGGGTTTTACAGTCGACGGTCGCCGAAGTGGAGAAGTGCAGATGAGAGGGACCAGGAACTAAAATGGATCGGGTTGGATGAATTCTTCCTGTAAGTTTTTAGGGGAAAATACGTTTTGCTAGAATGAGCAAAGAAACCCTAAAAAGTTTTGTAACTTGTAACCAATTACCGGGTCAAAATTGAGAGATTTGGTAAATTGCTCCATCACAACCAAATCCACTTTTTTAATCTATGTTATTTTATAAAAGCCAATTTATTATAATTTAGAAGTGTTTAATTTCTTTAAAAAAAATTATTACTAGTTTCACATCGGTATAAGTTGTTTATCCAAACACTCAAAAGTGTTTATTACCGGCGTCCAACGAAATAAGTCAATAAGTTATTTTTATAAGCAATCTCAAACACCTCATTTATCCCTTTCTCAATCGAATTCTCGTTTAATAAGAATTTATGTGAGCAGCCGTTTATCAAACGCTTACTCTAGTAAGTGAACATCAAGTCGTATAACCTTATCGGATGAATATGATAAGGACCAATAATCTTACCCGGTAAAACACCAAGAGTCTTACATGGTAAGTAAGGGAGACGAATATTACCACGGTAAGCATTTACTGGGTAAATTGTTACATATGATACGTTTTGGGGGTTTAGATCTTACCATATAGTGTTAAATTTTAGCGGTACACGCATACGGGGTAAGTGTTTGGTAAACGGTCCCTAAATGTATTGTTCAATTACGTAAACTCGGTCTTCAGATAAAAAAATGATAATAATATACGTAATTTGTATAAATAATTTTTTTTTATTTGGAATAGGCTTTACAAAAATATATAAGACATTTACATAAACTTCGATTAAAATAATAATTTAGTATCAAAAGTGACTAAAAATAAATTTAATTGAAAATATTGATTATTTTCATATTTTGATCAATTTTCCATCGAAAGAACACTAAATAAGCGTCTTCGTAGAGCCAGTTTCCTAGTCAAGACCCGGAAGGTTGACTGTTGTAACCATAACCATCTGAATCGGACTTCCGGTTGTATGCCACGAGGTCGCTATGGACAAGGGGATAGTTGAATCATCGCTTCTTGGAGCAGACAGCCTTCTACAATCTATCCCATTGCATTTCATTATCTCGATAATCTCTCAAATGCATGTTAAGATGTTGACCATTTTTCTTTTCTTTGTTGATTCATCTCAATGAAATTTTACATGTTGTACTAAGTTACTTACGGGTGTATGAATATTTGTGCACGACTCCATGAAAATGGCGGTGGACGAAAATGGCCTCATTGTACCTCACTCTCTTATTTCATAGCGCCCCTCTATCCCTCATCCACACGCCTGTTTCTTGTCCACGCCTTGGAGAGATGCATAACTCTTTTTTCCTTAAGGTTGGGATACCCGTGAAAGAAGATCCACCACGAGGACCCTTTTCTTTTATTGACAATGCGTTTCATCATCAGCAAGCGGTGGACAAGGCCCTTTTACCTAATTCCAAACTTTTTGGGGAAGAGTGTATAATCCTTCTTCCGCTCTAGTGGCGGGTTTCTCTTTTCATTAAGTAACCCCTCATTCACCTCGTACACTGAGTCAGCCAACTTCTCTTTTATTGTCTATAGGAGAATTAGAGAAATCATATTTTCAGTTGATTATAGATACATACCGATGGTCAGTCGATGCTATGGAGGGTCCTACTCCAATATCCGTTTTGATTCATGCAGCTACGATGGTAACAGCTGGCGCTTTCATGATAGCAAGGTGGGACTAATTGAGCTTACCTTGCTTAGCCATTGAAGAACATACCCGTTTTTTTTCATATTTAGTTGCTAAGTACCTCTTCGATGGCGAAAAATGCTTTCATGAAGGATTTTATTGAAGAATCGAAAGAATCTACCTGATCTACGGCCGCAGGGGGGGGTGTAAATACAAAAACAAGACAATAGTGGGTAATGACTTTCTCCTGTAATAATAAGATTGGCCATTTGCCCTGCGAAAAAGCTACATCTAATACCAGATCATACGACTTTCTCACCCTTCTGTAAACTTTTATTCTCTTATGATTTTTAATATATAATTTTTTTATATATCTTAATTTAATTGACGGAACATAGATGAAATGTGTGATTTTTTAAATTTTTACATACCAAACATAAAATTGGGCATGGAACTGGAGAAGGATTTCTCATTCATTAGACGTCTATTATTGAATTCACCGGATCTAACAGACCTTGTTTGGGGAACAATCCAGTGCCAAAGTCATTAACATGTGTAAATCGACAATCCCCAAACCGAACTATGTAATGCTATGCATATAAATGTTTTTCAATTTTCGTTGACAATTTTTATACTGGAAATTTTATGTCGTACGTAAAAAACCCAGATTTCATTAAATCTAGTCTGTCAAAAAAATAAACATCACAGTTTCAAAGTTATGAAACAAATTCAAGCCTTATAAAATTGAATAAAAAATATATTATATTTACAAAAACTCTACATTTATAACTATTTTATACAGTTACAATTTTAGGAAAAATGTAATACTTATAAGATTTGACAAAATAAACTGTTTTATAAATTTCAAAAATCTAACAACCGTTTGATTTTCTAAAATCTGATCAAGCATCATTGTTGTAAATATGGATACCTCGCTTATCGAGTTATCGTTTTGGTAAATTATATCGATAATATATATATATATATATATATATATATATATGCAACTTTAAATCGGCCTTAATTTAAAGTTAATTGAAACTGGACCTTCTAGGTAGCCGGCCTGTCTTAATTGATCGGATTGGTCACATAACTGTTGGAACCCAACCAATTATCATATTAAAGATTGAAGTCGGTTAATCATCGGTTTTTTTGCAATCGGAATTGTAATCGGACCTTAGGGACCAAACAATCAAATTTTATGAGAAATAAAGCACGTGTTAAGTAGTAGTTACTGATTGAGCAACGATTTTACTTTTCCTCCTTGTTGTCATTTTGACTTTAAAAAATATTTCCGTTTTCTTGAATTTCTCAACTGAATTACTATTTTTTTAACAGATCTTCTAAATTAACATATTCTTGCATTTTTCAAGTCACCTCAACTTTCCCAAATATCGGTTCTCTCAATCTCGCAAGGCTCGTAATTTTGGGATTGCTAAGTTTTTGAAATTTCAACTGAAAATCATATCTCGTAAATTTCCCGGCTCTCAAGCTGATGATTCTAATATCGGTGGTTCTATCAGCAGTAGTTCTCAAGTCGGATATTCGTTTCCCAAGCTTTAAGTAGTCACATTCAGGTTACCGAAGTTATCGAGGAATATAACCGAAAAAGCCCCGGTTTCAGACTTTGAGTTTACTTCAATTAGACAGTCATATTTAGTCGACAAAAATAACAAGGCATATACATTATGTCACTTCTTACCCAAAGGGAAATTCCACATGCTTGGGGAAATCTGGAACAACTTTGAAATTAATAGGCAAATATTATTTGGTTGGTTTTTCGTTAAGTCATATATGTATAAAGTTGCTATATAGATTGTAAATGTTTTTATCTGAGAGAGTTTTTTCATAGATGAAGACTTGTTTTTTAATTGGGAGTGACAGGTTTAGAAAAAAACTTGACTTTCTATATAAAGTTTCTTTATAGGTTTACCGAATTAGCAATTACCACACAGTTATATATAGTTGACCAAATAAGTTAGTACTTAATTCTTTGTAAAAACAAATAAAAATTGTAATTAATCTTATTGACATTGAGGGGTACATATATAGATTGTATTTACAAAAATACCATGTGCTCAATATCAACTATTTGAAAATAGATGATGACCTTTTTGGTAATTTTCACTCGGTTTTATTCATACACATATAATCTATATCTATATTCCTGCCTTCAAACAGGTTCCTGCAGAGCAGCAGCAGCACCTTCATCATCTTCATGGATTCAAATCCATGACTGAATCGAGTATTTGCATTTGAACGAATTCACTCCACTTAACTGTGAAAGAATGTCCGATGATTCGAAATTCTCTTCTTCATCCTTCACCGCTACATGCTGATTCTGCGATCCACAAAACAGATTTCAAATTTACTCAATTAGGGTTTGTTTATCAGTAACGTAATCGATGTTGATCGATCGGTTGGTTTTATGAGGTTCGGTAAGGTGCATTACATGAAAAGATCTTACATCTTCATCTGTGTCTTCTTCATGGTTGCTGTTGGTTCTGTTGTTCTCCCCGAACTCGTCGTTCTTTGCAAATCTGCCTCTTACTCGTGGCCGGCTATCTGCCAGAGTTTTCCGGCAAGCGTACTGTTGAAAGAGTTACAGGTTAACGCTGGTTAGAACATCGTATATGCTTACATTATTTACAATTTTCATTGTCTGCATCTTAAGAAAAGTTATGGCAGTGCAATTTCGTTTTCGGTGCAGAAAGTAGCACAGAGCTGCTTGCAATCGACGAAAATGTCTGGATGATTCCTTTGAATGAGGTAATTATTGAATCCGATACTAAATTGCGAATTAATCAGGAAATTTTCTACACTTATCAACGAAGATCTTCAACGAATTGATGATGGAGAATAAATTAAAATACAATAAAAGGATTAATTAATCGTTCCATTTGTTATATCTGTTATCATCCATTGTTCTTCGTTCTGTAGATCTGATTGTAGTTTTGTTACGCAATGGACCTTGGATCGTGCCTTTGCTTCTTCTAAGAGGCACCCAAACAATCAGATCGAATGAAGAAATGAATACACATAAATTGATTTGTGATCTTTTACCTTGATTTTCTTGCTGAAATTCCTTTCGTTTCTTTTCTTCATGTACCTATGGATCTTCTCTTTCCTCTCCTTGCTCGAAAGTTTGTAAGAATTTCTGAAGGCATCGGACTCCAAGCTTGTGATTTCCGATGCCAATGGAGTTGTAGAACTCCCGCCTCCGTTCACAAGATATTGACTTTCATTGCTAAGAGCCTTTTAAGTTTCGATAAGTGTCAACACATTTGTTGTTAGATATACTAAAATACATATAAGCAATCACCAAACGTAACATATATATCAACCCAAAAAATACACGTCTTAAAACATCATTTATAGAAGTACCTGGAGTTCATTTGAGTTGAAAGAGCATTGTAGGAGATCAGTGCAAAACATTCCACCATTGTCTCCTTGGAATTCAAGTTCATTTGGTAGAATGTCACTTCCTAATAACAAATTCACATTGAAAGTCCCCGAACCTTCAGACGATCCAGGAAGGTACGAGTGTATGGAAGGATCGATGAAAGAACAATTGGGAGACAAAGGATTATTCAATCGCATGAACTTAGAAGGTGGCATGGAAGATAAACTATCTTCTTCACAAACGGTTGGCAATGCCGATGGTCTGATGATAGGTACAACGTGATCGTTTGAAAGGGTATGAACATACGAGCTAAAAGGGCCATTGTCAATGGTGTTGTTATATGTTGTTAACGGAACTTGGTTTTGGAGTAGCGAGAGATCAAACTGGTCTTCGTTACTAAAAGGGTATTGATGGTTGGTGAAGGAGGAAGTATTCGTGAGATCAAGAGGGGTAGAGATGTCATTTTCGATGCTTTCTTCTTCAAAGATCAAGAATTTGCTGGTGGTAGGGGTGGCGGTAGCAGCGGTGGCTTTGGTTTCAAGAGCAATGGTGGCGGTGTCCACCAAAGTCGGGCATTTGGTCATATTATTCCATGGATCCGAGGGGTTCGTGGTGTAGGAGGATTGTTCTTCGTAGCAACCGTTGGAGCTAGAAGCAACTTCGGAATTTTGTATGGTTTCCGGGAACAACTCCGACTTACAAAACTCTAGTATCTGTGCACTCAATGGGGTCGACACTTGTTCCTGAAAACAAAACAAAAAAACAATATTTAGATCATTACAACTTAACGTAATCGAAAAACGTATAATATATAGATATATAAACAACATATGTATAAACCTTTACAAAATGAAAGGTTTTCACAAGTCTTGTACGATAGTTCTTCATTCGTTGTGGGATGGCACGGATGGAGTTACGTTTAGTACCTAACTTTAGTGCTTTTTGTACTGAACAATAGAAAAAGGAAAAGGTTCTAGTCAAATGGTGCACCATGTGACACTGTTTGAAAGCTCAGTGGACCAAGTCGAAGTCGAAATCAAGTTCGATGGCATAACATAAAGAATAGATCCTGACTTGTTACTTGATATAACGAGATAATAGATAGTCACGTACCAAGAGAATGTGTGAAACCTCGTTAAATATCTAGATTACGTTATAAAAAAAAAGTTTTTAGAACGTTCCGGTTTCGATTACACTGTATAATGGAATAGCAAAGATACACACACATATATATAGGTGGAGGTTCAAACGAGAACACCTGTATTTTACGAGAATACGAGAACACCCTTATCATATGTGATAATACGCGTGAGGGGACCCTTGTGATATGCGTGTGTTCTACGACTTAGGTTGTGCCAAAGGTTGTCTGCGTCTATGATTTAGCATCATGTGATGGGGTCTTGATGGATTATATTATTATAGAAGCAATTGTGAATAGGAAATAAAGAGGAATTGAGGTGGGCTATAGTTTTACATTCGTTGATGAGAGGATCTAAACAATGTAAAATTGGTCCTCCAAAATGTTCAAAATTATACATTAAATATGCTAAAGAACGGTCATACCTCCAACAAAAGTTAGATGAACACATTGTCCCAGAGTGTCGAGTTTCTAGAATGGTAAATATTGACTTTGATACTATATAAGAATATGTGGCACCTCATTAGAATACTCTCAAAAAGAGCCTATGAGGAGAGAAAATAAAGAGATTCAATCGTTTATTGAAAAAAATGGTCAATGTCTAACCAAAGTGAAATTTCAACAATACATAGGTCTCAGGTTCGTATTCTATATTTTTATATTACACTCATGAATATCAGGAGTATAAGATACGACATATGATAGACGACAAAAGTTTATTCTGCTAGCTCAATCAAGTCTTAAAATGTCTCATTCTAGACGAAAAGCGTTATTGGCCGGGCATCACAACTCGCTTAATGAATTATTCATGGACCTAATATAACTCATCGATCAGGTTGATACATCTTAAGAAAAACAATATTTACCTGCAATCTATAATTTTAAGAAACATGAACATGATTTTTGTTAACGTTAAGTCGTTAACTACTTGTTATGCATTGATCCAATGGTTAATTTTTTTTGAACTGAATTGGGTTTTAAGTCGGTAAAAACCATGAATAAACATGGAATGTAGTAATCATCCTAAGAATTTTATAACATTTGACTTTTGTACGAAATATGACAACGCTATATTTGGAAATAGAGTGGATCCATAATTTGCAATAAAAGGACCCGCAAATAACTAATTGCCATTCAAATGAAATGCTTGGAGTCTCGATCTCAAGGAATCGAAGAACTACAAGACTACTTAAACACCACGCGATCACATTTATATTCTTGAAATCATTGAAAGCGTAATCCACATAGCGACTGGCACATCGAAAAGTGACCTATTTATGAGAGAATTTGGATAATTGGGAGCGTGCTAGGGCGATTTTTAGACGTTAAGAATCAAATCGAAGATAAGGTTGAAATGGAGCGGGAATGGAATTTAACCAAAGTTCGTTTCATCTTTCCTTCTTTCCAACTTGATGCCAGTCATCGTCAGGGTTTTTTTGTCAAAAATAAAAGGTGCCAAAACTTTTTGTCAGGGTTTTTGTCAAAAATAAAAGGTGTGAAAACTCCCCTAGTTGAAAAAACGAAACCGATAAAACGTACATTTTATTCTCTTGAATAAATACAATTTCAACATTTTGAGTCGACAAATAATATGTATACGATATACATATATTGCTACTTCCATAAATTATACGTACAATCAACCCAATGATAAATCAAAAATGAACAGTCTAACTGTATCCAGTATTATACTTTTCTGAATTAAAATAAGAAAAATGTATCTGTTTAATTTGTGATATAAAACCAAGGAAAATAGTAAATTAACTAAGGGGCCGTTTACCAAACGCTTACTTGGGTAAGTGAACACCAAATTACATTACCTTACCGGATGAATATGGTAAGGATCAAGAATCTTACCCGGTAAGAGCGAGACAAGGACCAAGAGTCTTACCCGGTAAGTGAAGGCGACGACTCTTACCATGGTAAGCGCTTACCGGGTAAATTGTTGCATACGATACCGTTTTGGTGGACTAAAATCTTACCCGGTAAGTAAATGATAATGTTAAATTTCACCAATAAGCGCTTACCAAGTAAGTGTTTGGTAAACGGCCTCTAATACAGATATAAAAGATTCTAAGTTACAAGTATATTAAAAGATTCTAAGTTACAAGTATATAAAATAAGAAACGATGCGTTTTTATGCATTAAAAACAATTTTATTTGAAAAAAAAAACAAATCATGTTTTATGAACCCAAAAAAATATGTTTTTAGTTTAATTAATTGATTTACTGATTAACTAAGGGGCGTTTACCAAACACTTACTCGGTAAGTGCTTACCGGTAAAATTTAACATTATCATTTACTTACCGGGTAAGATTTTAGTCCACCAAAACGACATCGTATGCAAAAATTTACTCGATAAGCGCTTACCGTGGTAAGAGTCGTCGCCCTCACTCACCGGGTAAGACTCTTGGTCTTTATCTCGCTCTTACCGGGTAAAATTCTTGGTCCTTATCTCGCTCTTACCGGGTAAGATTCTTGGTACTTACCATATTCATCCGGTGAGATAATGTTACTTGGTAAGCGCTTACCCGGATAACGGTTTGGTAAACGGCCCCTAAAACTTGTTTAAAAATGACTTGTATAAATCTCGAGTTCAATCTTAATTTGCTTGTACCCAGATGAGCCAAAAGTTTACGTATTTCTTATAACTTTCCACAAAAATTTGCATGACGGAACACGAGCATTCATGTAAACAAACACGCGTATGGAAATAGTACATATATATTTACCACGGGAGGTTGATCAGGTGACAGAACCACATCCGGCAACATTATTTTTGTTCTTCGAACGACGAACACGTTTCGGGTTTTCAAAAAAACGGGAAGCGAGCAAATTAAATTCCTAGGAGCAACGAAAAGACGAAATAGAAACATGCAACTTGTCGGAAACTTGTCTTCTAGGCTCCACATAAACACGTGAAACTATCGAAGGAAGATGAACCTCCATGAGATTTGTTGTTTTTTTTTCCAGATAAAAAAAGGAAAAACAAAAGAAACCCGTTTTAAGAAATAGCAAATAAAAACACTCGTAAGACGGAACGACAGTTCTTTAGGATAGTTATATAAGGTACAATAATAGAGTTTTCCGTACGTTATTCGCGTTACCCTGTTACTTCGCGGAGTCGTACATTAACCACGTGATTAATTACATGTGTTTTTTTGCTAATATAACGCCAGTAAATCAGTTGGTTATTGTTGATTATTTTCCAAATTTGGAATTCTTAAATCCATAAAAATGTACAACTATTATCCGTAATATAAAACAAGCTTTAACATTAAACTTTTTACAGTATAATCTCAACTTTAGTCGATCAGATATATGAGTACAGATGTGCTACCGCTCATTTAAACGATACAATAGTTTTACCGTGTGAAACGTTTTTGAACAAATAAATCATTGCATTTATCGAGATTGAACACAGTGATCTTTTTGGCCTGTAAAAATGACCATAAACCGAACCAGTGGAACAAACTTTATATTCCATACCCAGTATGTCAAGTAATCTACTGATTTCGTCATATTTGAAGATGTTGATGTCGGGTTGTCGACTTATTTGATTAAATTGTTTATTTGGATGTCAAGTTACTAAGGGGCCGTTTACTAAACGCTTATCCGGGTAAGCGCTTACCAAGTCATATTACCTTATCGGATGAATATGACAAAGATCAAGAATCTTACCCGGTAAGAGCAAGACAAAGAACAAAAGTCTTACTCAGTAAGTAAAAGCGATGACTCTTACCACGGTAAAAGCTTATAATGTAAATTATTGCATACGGTGCCTTTTTGATGGATGGAAATCTTATCCGATAAGTAAGTAATAGTGTTGAATTGTACCGATAAACACTTATCGGGTAAGTTTTTAATAAATGACCCTAAATAATATTATAAAACTGATTAGGTGGACACAGAATAAGTTTATCTATGTAATCAGTTTTACAATACAACTTCATATATAACTTAACATCCATGTTATCAATAAGTTGTTGATAAAACTAAATACAAATAAGAATTTTTTAAAACTTGAAAAATATTATTAGTTACGTTAAATAATATGTAATACACACATACACACATGCATATATATATATATATATATATATATTTGTTTGAAAACCCATAAAATTATGATAACTTTGAGAACAGTGTATCATGTGCTATTTCACATGATTTTTTTCATCTACAGT